CCTGTTCTAGAAGTTTGTACCGTATGGGTCTATTTTAATTTTTGTCTTCTTTATACTTTCATTGTGGTGTAGCAGAACCTTCTGAGCATAATCAACACATTTATTTTTGGTAGAGTACTTTTCCAGGACTGTAGAAACAGTCTGTCCTGTATAGCTGCCTACGCTGGTGAGTGAGCCAGAAAACCTTTTAAATAAACAAAAAAAAACCCAAACAACTGCAGAGTTTAACAGGGTGTATATTAAGATTAACCATAATTGTCATCAAATAACCTTTCTTCTCATGTTCATCTGCTTTCATCTTTCTCACACATGAAATACTTGAAGTGGCAAAGATTTGAGGTGTAGTGTCTGACAGGCAGTAGCATCACTGTGCTTGTGTTGGCTTTTACAGGAATTGCACAACTGAGGCCATTATGCCATTCATTGATTTTATGTAGCAAGACAGTGCCGTAGCTGTCTCAGTAGATTGAACAGATTATCTGTTTAGTTACTTAAGAATGTCAGGGTGTGACACAGGCAGGAGGCTTCCAGGAGGCTTCCAGGAGGCCCGGAGCTCTGGAGCTGCACAGTGTCCCCAGGCAGTCCCTGGCCAGGGGTGGGGCAGCAGGGCAGTCCTGGGGATGAGGCACCTCCCTGGGGATCGGGCACCTCCCTGGGGATGGGGACAAGCCCTGCAGCCCGACCAGGCAGGGTCTGACAGCCCCAGCGGTGCTGAGACCCAGGCAGAGTGTGGGTCCTGGGTCAGGGACAGGGAGCCCTTGTAGTGCCATCAAAGCCCCAGCACTGAATGGCTTGCCACTACTTGATTCTTGATTTTTTTTTTGAGTTTCATGCTGTCGCTCTTTTCAGGAGAGACCCTGTTGAAAAGACATGGGAAGAATTCAAAACCATCTGGCAGTTTTGGAATGGGGAAAACACAGAGCAGTTCACTACACTTTTGGTAAAAGGCACAGGTTTCTTCTGGAGGAAAACAGCTGCTGTAGAAGACTTGCATCCCGATTGCAAGAGATAATTTGAAAGGTGTTAAAAGTGCCACTGAATTTTTCATTTTAATTTTTGCCATTTTATAGTTCATTCCTGCAAACAGGTATGAGTTCATATACTATTTACTAGAATGCAGGGTATAAACAGGATGTTTTCTTCATCACCTGCTAAGTGGGAAGTGCTTGGGGGCTAAAGTCTAGCAGGGGGATGAGAAACTTGATTTATGTACGTCCTTGAATTTTTAACAGTTAAACTGGTGCAATTGTGCTTGGAAATCTTCTTTTCAGTTAAAGTTATGAATAAAAATCCAGGGTATTTTTTTCTAATATCAGCTGACTCTAATTTGAGTCAGCAGGCATTCATACTTTAAGAATACGTTTTACAAGGTGTAACTAGAAATTCACAGAAAGATAGCTGAAAGGATATTTTTGCTAATTTGGTTTATTGAAACAGAAACATTCTCTACAATAATGGAATTTCAGTGTAAGTCTGGAAGAAAAGTATTTGTGTCATTTGTCCATATATACATTTATTCTTGGTAAAATTTGTTTACAGATTTTGAACTCAGTTCTTCATGGCAGCAGAGTACTTGGGGTTTGAACAGACTATGCCCTCTCTAATTAAAGTGAAATTTGCACTGAACTATTCTTGTTCTTCTTCTGTGGCTAAGTAGGAGTTGTCTCTTGGCAGAGAATATTGATTTGGTGCATCAGTACACTGTCAAATAACTCCTCTTTTACCTTAATACAAAATTTTATATTTTCAGTCTATCTTTATTTTGCTTTCATTCCTGTTTTTTTCATCACATTCTTTGGAATTTACCTCTCTATATCAACAGTGAAGATAATGGTAAGGAGTATTTTTTTCTGATAGTATAGAATATTTCTTTCATTTTTTCCATTCAGTTATTTATGTTCTATTTCTATTATGTTTTCTTTTGACTTTTCATATGGATTACTTTAAGATGTGCTTGCTACATGGTAAGCCCATATAGGGAGGCTACAAGGGATATTTCCAGAAGCAAATCATGCCACCACACTGTGCTATTTGGCATAGGTGGCATTACAAAGATTGCTGCTTCTTTGAGATCTTATTGAAAACAGAATTTGATGGGTGGTCAGTCACAGGACCTCATTCTAGGTTTTGGACAGAGACTTTAATACACAAAGAGGTAGAACTTTCCAGACTTCCCTTTCATTAGGGCATGGATATTGCACTGTACATTGGTCTGTGTCAACAGATGGAGCAGGACCTTCAGGGGTTCTGCAGTTTCCTCACTGCAGATGGAGAATCACTCCTGCCAGAGTTTGTCTATCTTGCAGCTGGAATACTGTCATTTTAGGACCCCACACCAAAAAAAGACAACAATAAACTGGGGTGTGTTCATGAAGAGCCACTGGGGCATCTGGGGAGCCTGTTTCATGTGACTTCATTGGGACAGTGTGTTTAGTGAGGAAAGGTCTCAATACTGATTTTCTTACAGCACAGGAGAAACACAAAGCCCTCTGACAGAGCAAAAAGACTTATTTCCCTGGGCAACAAAATGAACCATGAGATTCTACCCTTAATGTATCTTTGGGACTCGAGTATGAGAAACCACACTTTAAATTTAGGGTAGAATCTCAGAGCAGATTGCACTCCTCCCCTCACTCACTGGTGACCTCTCTGCAGGACCATTTCTCTTATAGGAATCTCAGACCATGAAGAGATTTTTGTGTTTATGATATCTTTATAGCTGTTATGAAAAATGAATCCTGATGTCATCGGGGGTGAGAAGCTCTCTTTCACCTCCAGGTGGCACTGCTTAAAAACTGTTCTGTTTGCTTTAAAGGTCTCTGTAGAAACTGTCCATGGCACGTTCCACAACTAGAGTAGCTGGCATCATCATGGACAACAGAAAAACTGGTAAGTGAGGCAAGCTTCTGATTACAAACCACAGACACAGAGGGAGCTCAAGGGTTTTGTCACTTTGTACCCATTTTCCATATTCTACAATTTCAGATTGCTGTTTTTCTGAACACATATTATTAGTATTCTGATTGTTTTCTGTATGTTGCTTGATAAAGGTTTTAGTACTGTTTTTACATGCACTGTTTATATGAAGTTATTCTTAGCTGCTGATAAATGATCAAGGGGGAATCACATCAGGAAATACCATTCTGAACATCTGCCTGCTCCAGACAAATACTGTGACATATGCTCTTACACTTGTCAAATATTATATCCTTCCATTATCAGAGAAAGTCAAGAGTTCCATCTCCAAGTTGTAGAAGTTGTAACTGAGCATCTGAAAAAAAAAAATCACTATATTAAAAAGAACTTCGGGTTTTCATTTTATTTGTATCCAGCTTGCAAGTTGTCAGGGCACTGCTGGTTAGTCTCTTCAGGACTGCCCATGTGAGAGTGGGCATAAGTGGACCTGCAGTTATTCTCAGTGAAAGCTGAGAATCTCACTTTTTCTGCTATTTTAAGGAAGATAACACAGGCTATGAAAACCACGAGGAAACTGAGACCACTGTTGGTGTTTCCTAGACACAAGCTGTACAGATATTGTCATCTTTTACACCTTGGCTTCCATAATCCCACCTCAACAGCAGGTCCTCTCTGAATGAGAGAAAAGCTTAGAGCGGATGCAGAGTTATGGTGTTCCCTAGATTCTGCGGTCATTTGCTTAGGTTGGGGAGAGGCTACTTTATTCCTGCATTTGAAACAATCTGTCACTGATCTGTTGGTGAAATGCAGAGGTAGAATATGGGAGGAGGTCTGAAGAAGATCAGATACACAGTGGAGGAAGGAGGAATTATTGCTGCACTTAAAAGTAAAATCTTATGAGCTGAGTGTTTATTTATTTTAATTGTAGATCACTGTAAATTTTGTAACTCTTAAAAGAATTCATGTATATTTAACTTACTTTATGCTTTTCTGAATTTTCTGAATTTTTCCTTTTCTTATGGTGTTGGAAAGAAAACCTGCGAAGAATACTGAAAAGAGAAGAAAAACTATCTCAGGACTTGGCCAGGATATATGCTTTGCTATCTTGTTCTTTAAAACCTGTTTCTATTTCAGACAAAAAGTTGTTCATCTACACACTGAAATATGAATATGTTGTGTGCTGTATTTTAGGCATTATATTATACCCTGATTCACCAGTGTGCTCCTCTGTTTTCATGTAACTGCAACAATTTAAATAGAACAGTATTCTAAGCTACAGTGCTTTTCTGTAATATTCTCAGTAATGCATTATCATACCTGTCATGTAATTCCAAATAAATAATATAGCCTTTTGTTACATAATTTCATAATTCTCATAGGTTGTTAGGGCTGGGTGTAGGATTTAGAACTGCTCTTAAGCTCTCCTAATATGATTTTGGATTTTCACAGTTCCTGAGCCTTCAGCAAATCATGTATTCTGGAAACAGCAAAGCCCTTTACCTGATGTCTAACTCTAACAAATAAATCTGTACCACTGTGGTCAGAAGAATGTGACATTTCTCTCAGTTACTGTACCCTCAAATAATTTGTCTCTCTGGTGCCTTAATCTTTGCCTTTTCCCACATTTAATACATCTAATACAGTTTTGCATGGAAGTCTTGTAAACTTCATTAACTAAGGTTTGTGCAATGTTTTGCACAATACTCACAAGCTATTATGTGACTATTGGAGGTGTAGAATAAGATCTTAAATAAACAATGTTTTCAAAAGCTGAAATAAAAACTTTCTCTATAGTGTTGAACTACATTGCGAAAGGAAACATTTGTACAAGGCAAAGTGCACAGTGCAGAAGACACAGGTTACAGGATACCATTTGCACAGCACTCAAAGGTTGCCAACTGAAACTCTGACAATGGAATAATCAGGCATTTGCTGGAGTATTCAATATGTGTTTGCTGTTACTATAGGTGGTGTAGAAAATTATACTGAACTAACATCAACTTTTGTTTTCAGGTAGGGCAATAGCATTTGGAACACACTGTGGCTGGAATATGTGTGAGCAGAAAGAAGCAGTATCCATCACTTGAACACTCTCTATCTGACTTTGGTTTTTCTCTCACCTGTTATAACACTTCAAGGATTGTGGTTGCTAGCAACTTGCTTTCCAGAGCACCAGGTAATACCTCTTTCACTTGTTTCCCAATCATTATTCTATAGCATGATAATATATTAATAATATGAATTTATATTCTGATTAAACTACAGCATATTAAATTTGTGGTTGTTTGGCTTTTGGTTTTTTAAAGAGATTGTGTCAAAATATTTGTTTTTAACATTTTGAAAAATGTTAATTTTTTAAAATGCATACATTGTTCTGTCTGATATTTTCTCTGTCAGACTAGGAAAGATGTATGCAAATACTTTTAAATTTGACTGGGAAAGTTAATCACATTACTTCAAGTACAGGTTTCTTACTCTTTAATTCCATATCCACAGGATCAGAGACCTGGCAACTTTCTTTGGCTTCAGTCACAGCCTCTTTTTTCTTCTGCATTTTTACCCATTCTAACTTTGCATTTTTTAGTCAAGATGCAATATTTTGCTTTGTTGAAAATTACTTTTCAGAGTTGTTAGCAATTTCACCACTTGAACATCTCAAATGACATTAAAAGAGTTTAATTTGTAGAAATTTTGACCTAAAATTTTGAAGGCTCCTATAAATGATATTGGAATATAGACAAACTGAAACCACTGGCTTACCAGCTTAGGTGATAAATTTTCTCCCATATTTTACTTAGCTCATGAAAAAGATAGTGCCTTATATTCAGGGGTGCCAGCAGTGATCCTGAGCACAGTAATTGTCTATTTTGTCCTCTTTTTTTTTCTGTCACATAGTGTTATTGCCTCTTGGCTGAATATGGGATTTACATTACCAAGGAATGGTAGCTATTTGTCAGTGCTGTTATATAGTATTATAAATTCAAGTTCATGGATTTTTCTAACCTGGCAGAATATATTAAGAGTATTCCATCCAAATGACATTGCTGAGTGGCCAGATGCATCTTGAAAATATTGCTTTCAGCATTAGAGAAAAACAGACAATAAAGCCTCTTCTTTCTCTCTAGATAAAAAAAAAATCCAAAAAACCTGCCTGAAAGATTTGTAGCAAAGTGATCCATCTTTGTGTGTCCCAAGCTCTTATTCTGGGAGATTGCATCTATGGCTGTGTACCTCCTTTAGGAATAGGATGACAAAACACACAAGCTGTGGCTCTGTGTGATTATTGGAGGAAAAGCTTTGAAACACCTCTTGAGAGGCTAGATATTTTCTTTAGAAGCTTCTTTATTCAAGCATCATGTTGTGCTTGATGTATTAGTTGGGCTTTACTATGAATTTCCAACGATCTGTTTGAAGTGTTCTGTTTTGAAAAGAGAACAAAGTCATATTCCTTCTACTGGAATTTATTATTATTATTAAATTATACAATTCTTGTTTTACCAATCTTTCACAGTTTTCACACAGCACATGCTGATGTAGACTACTCTTGTCTACACAGGAAAATCATAGAGTTATGAACAGTATAAACAGTAACATCAACTGCAGCTGTAGAGCAAAGCCTACCTACCAGCGTGAAATCAGGTCTCACTGTGCTGGGCATTGTATGAACAACTTGTTGAACTTCTGTCACAGTGCTCACAGGCTAAGTATGGAGAGGCAAAGTGTGATGAAGGGATAGAAGCTTTTTACCTGCCATACCCTCTAGATCCTATTTTTCAGTCTAAGTGACATGGCTTAGAAACATTGAACCATAAAGAACTGTGAGTATTAAGGTTATAAAGCAGACTTTAAAGGCCTAAAAAGATCGTCTAATTGGTTAGGTGGAACCTCTTCAGTCAGGTACTTCATTTTTGTTTTGTAGTGCATGAAGCCAGTTTACTCAAAAGCAATTTATGACTAGTACATACAGTGGTTTCAGAAGACAAAATACATGTTTCATTGAAGGATTTGTTCTGTGTAAAGAAGTCAATGTGTCAATTTTAATAGTGTTAAATTGCAAAAAATTCTCGGGTACCAGCCTTCAAAGTGCGAGGCTGGGAAAATGGTGCCTTTCCTTACGCTTGGACTTGCATCTTTATGTAGAGACATGTATTTTGTTATCCCTGTTGCCAAAGAGCCAGTCTGGATGATGCTATCACTGATCTCACTTTTGGACTCAGTAAATTAAAATGGAAGCCAGTGCATGAATGATTTTAGCTTTTTATATTGCTTTAGAATGATACGGACCTGACTTGAGTTTTTTGAAAGTCACGCTCAAATTCTGTGTTTAGGAAATATGAAAATATTTGTGCCAAGTAGGACAAGAAGCAGCAAAAAAAGCCATGAATCACTCCAGAATAAGCAGCAGTAAACACATTTTACTGAGATTGGGATGGTATGGACCTGCCTTATTGCAGAATTGAATTTAGCAGTACAATTTTATTTTGATTTTGCTCCAGCTATGCTATGCATAGATAGATTTAGAGCTGACATACATCTCAAAGCTGAGTATATAAACACAGCAAGTTTGTCTCTGCCTTTCTAGATAAACAATTCTGGAGACACAGAATTCTCCTGTGAGGTTCCTAGATTCCTGTCTTGGGACTGCAGACACAGTGGGTGGATTTAAGTGTTGTTGATATGCTTAAAAGGAAAGGATACTTTACTTCTCTTGATTGTGCTAAGGGATGATTGCTAATACTGAGAGGAATGACATAGCCATGTTCATGTTTATAGTGCTGAAGTTATCTTAAACAACCTAATGGTAGCAAAATACACACTCAGATGTTATTATCTTCTTTCCTATGATATAAACAATTTTATTTACACATCGAAAAGGAAGTGGCTTTTTTTTTGTCCAGTTATAACCCTTTAAAAATGCCTTAAGGAGCCCCTTCCTTGCTGTAGTGAATATTCAATGCACTTACTCTTTGTGTCATGGCAACACGTGCTTTCAGTTTCTTGGAATGTGTTCTTCTGCCTTGGCATCAGTTGTGTCAGCACCACCTGGAAAATAAACAGCATCCTTGGAGACTGTAAACAAAACATGGGAACACCATAGAGCTTGTGTGATTGCATTTTGTGTTCTGGTATGTGATAGAGATCACCCAGGAATGGCTTGTCAGATCATAGTTGTACACTATTCAGTGATGCAAATTGCTGCCCATGAGATTTGATCCAAATGATAGCACAGAAAAAGTATTTGCTACTGTGCAAGGAAGAGATTATGTTTTAACAATAGAAATATGACTGAAAATAGATGATGGAAGAACTGTAAATTTTAACTTGACCTCTGTTTTTCTTGTTTTCCTTATGCTTTCCTTATGAAATGTTTTAAATGAATACATAATTATAAAATTTCATTTTCTATCTGAAATGTCACAATTGTTGTGTGGACAGTTCAAACAGATAATGCAAAACAAGGCTAAACTTGAGGACACATAGAAGAAGTACCTGCAGATGGTTTAAAAACAATTAATAAAAGAGAATTTATTTCCCAAGTAAGTGTGCACTGCAGCATTATTGTAGACACATTAGAGCACAATTTTAAAAACCATTTTAATTCCTATAATTAGCTTCATGTGTCTGTCCTGCTCTGCTGTTATGCTGGCCATAATCCTCTATATTTCATGAAAGCCTCTCCGTTCAGTGGCGTATTTCAGGAATTCTTTTCTGGTCCATTTAATCTCTCCCTAATCTTACAGGTGGGAGAGTGAGCAAGTGGCTTGGTCAGTGCTTGGTTGGTGGCTGAGATTAAACCATGACAGTGATGCATCCTCCATGGTATTGGAAACTGCTCTGTTCAAATCTTAAATATGACTTAATCTGTGCCGGTTTAGTAGAGTAAAAGGAACAGCCTAAAGCAATGAGCAAGAAAAGTAAACTAAAATAGAGACAAACAGGAATGATACTGAGAATTAATTATTATTTTTCACAACTAGGCCAATGTAGCTTTCAGGTAGCAAATTTGAAAGGAAAATGTTGAAAGGTTGGGTTTTTTCCTCACAGAACTTGAAATTGTGAAAATCTTTATCATACCTGTCATGGATATATAAATAGATAAAGGAAGGAATAAGGAAAAGTGAATGGAGAATCTATTAATTAACAATTATTGAACACTATGATCTCTAAGCAACCTCTTAGGATGCCTCTCATAATTTGGATTTTTGCAAGTTGGATGGGCCAGAGAAAATATCTGTGATGGATGCTATATTTATGGGCTTTCTCCCTAAGATTCTGCTGGTCACAGATTCTTGCTAAGGTTCTTTTTGGTCTGGCTTAGCCCCAAAGGCTCAAGTTCAAAAATTTATTTCTTCACAAAGATGAGAACCTTGCTTTTGCCATCCTGGCAAAGGAGGATAATAGCACGTAAACTGGGCATTGTTGCTGTGAAGGTCCAAACAAGTCATGTTATTTTAGCACAATGACTTAAAGCTAACACTCCTTCCTCCACCCCCAGGTTTTGTTGTTGACACATGACCCAACAGGACTGTTTAATTCCACCATATACCCAATGTGTATGGATTTCTGAAGACTATGTGTCAGGGTGGAGCTGTCTGAGAGATACCTTCACCCACAAATTGTTAGGGTGAACTCTTTGAAACATAACACATTAGCAGGAACCTTCACTGTAACATTCCTCTGAAGCAGCATGTTCCACATAATTTCTGTTTTGTACAGAAATGCCTTCTCTGCCCCTTAGCCACAGCACACTACTGTGTTTCATGCCAGCATTGCTCCTTCTGATATATTCCTTTACTAGATTGCAGGTAACTCAGTGCTAGACTTTAGCTTTCTAAATATCACAAAGATGTCATTAATTTCTTCTGTGCCTAAATAAGAACACAGTCATCAGGAATAAAAAATTAATAGGAAACAATAGAACTGAGAAGACCAAAGACAATGCAACAGTATAAGAAAATACATCCCAAAACTTCTATATCTACTACTGTGGTTTCCAACAGCATGCCTGTGATACAGATCTTTTTCCCAGTGATTTACATTCACCAAGCAGTGAAAATGTTGTACTTTTTCCAACCATTTGAATATGCAGGCCCACTCATCTTAAAAATAATTCAGCTTTGAGTTTGTCTTTTTGTTCCTTTGACAGCTCTGTTACAAAGCAGTGCTCTTCTCAAT